CACAGCACAGAGATTTTAATCACATGGTTACAGGGCAGAGATTTCTGGGGAGAAACCAAGGTGGCTTTCTGCCACAAATGCAATACAGGAGCCTTGGCCTTTGGAAACAAGCCCAGAGGGTTCATGTCCAAAACAAATCAACTCAGATTAAAATGGGTTAAATTAACAGAGAGCAAAGGCAGCCAGGATTGCTTGTCCATGCCTCAACTTCATGCCTGTCCTCCTTACCCCACTCTTCAGCCAGCCCCACATGCCTGGCGATTGTTTTATTGGATGGGAAGACACGCAGGTACAAAGCAGAGGGCTTCTGCTAGAGGAAAGGCAACCCTCAGGGGGTTCATTTGAGGGTGGTGTGTGATTTGCAAATGGCACTCCCATGAGTGCCCTGGAAGCAGCATAGCTACCCACTTAGACAGCAAGGAGAACCAGGCAACAGCAGCATCTCTGGACTGGGAACCAGCAGACAGCTGGTACCAGACCCATCTGGAAGGATGGCTGCTGAGTGACACCTTCCACGCTCTTGTAAGGGATACACAAAAGGCAACCTGCTTTAGTCACTTAATAAGGTTAATGTCTAAATAAGTTAATAAATAGGCAACACTAGGCTTTATAGGAAAAAAAAAGGCTGCGCTTCTCCGGGTGGCAGGCAGCAGAGCTAGGACACAGCAAATGAGTGTCAATACTACTGCTGAACACAGTCTGTCCTGGACGCTGAAGCCAGGCAGTCTCCCTCTGGCATTAGCAGTCCCATTGGCAACAGCACGCCATCCCCACACCCTCCATCTGGAGGCAGCTCCCTCATTACAAACATCTGCTCTAACTTAAAGGCACTGGGCTTAACTCTTCTGCAGCATCTAGTGAATTTGGGGGGCCTCAGCGTTCTCAACCTGAGATGCCTTCAAGGGGCCTACATCTTTAGGAAGTGCAGAGCACCCACCTCGAGGAGACCACTTTGCTGGGCACCAAGGTTCAACTTGACACCAAAACCTATTAATCATTCTCAAAAAATACAGGTCTTGCTGTGCAAGAGTCATCTGTGGGACAATGCTCCAGGGTGAGAACTAGCAGCCCGTGGTCTAGCTCGGTTACCGCAGGATTTCCTGCCACTGCAGTTTATCACCACAAGGTCCCTTCCAACCCTAAAAAGCTATGAAAAACCAGCTCTCTTACAGCCTTGTGAATCAACTGAGCTAAAGGCACTTGAGGAAAAGGCAGTGAAGGCCAGCTTCTCCATCTGTAAAATGGGGCTACTGAGGCACAAAAGTGGCAAGGTGACTAGCCCAACTTGATCTGGTAGGCTGGTGGTGGGTGGAGCAGGGACAAGAACCCAGCTGTCCTGCCTCCTGCTCCATCCACTGGTTCATACTGTCTCTCTACAGCCCACCTGGTTCTTTCTGATGACTGTCCCTGAAAGGAGATGACCAAGAGCAACAGCCAACAACTATCTACTTGGAGCCAGCTCCAACAGACCACTGAAAGTAGGGAGGACAATTCATCCTCTCGTGCCTTTATGTTGTGCCATGGAAGGGCCTGCATCCCATTGCTGGGTCACCTCCTTCATTGCCTCCTGCAGAGGATTCCCTTGCATAACACATCAGTCCTCGACTGGCAGGCCATCTCCATGAGGCAAGAGTTGTGGAGCGTGGCTGATAAGAGGCTCTGCCGCAGTCTAATTTTGCTGTGATGCCCAATGCCTGTCTGTCGAAGAGAGAAACGCATACCAAGGTTGGAGCCTGAGTGTCAGGAGATAGCCCAGCAGCAAAGTTATCTGGCATGGCAGAAAGGAAGGAGGGGAAATCTAATGACAGGTCCACTGCAGGAAGGGCCAGAGCCCCGAGACAAAAACCGTGCAAGCCTGAGGGTGGTATAAGGGTAGGTTATTAATATTCAGCTGGACACCAAAGAGACAGCACCAGGTAGGCATTGCACAGCCTCACTCCAGCGCTGCAGCGAGCTTCATCCCCTCCACCGTCTCCCTCCACCTGCAGTCCTCCCCTGCGGGGTGAGACTTGGGGGTGGATGTGAAGCATGGCTCCTCAGCTGGCCTCAGCTTCCTTTTCGCCATCGCCACCCATATCCCAACAGACAGGGTGTCCCAGTGGGGACACGGTGCCCCCAGGGCTCCTTCATGCTCTGAAGTTTCCTCGGGGGGATGGGAGGCACTGCAGGGACTGGCAAAGCATGGGGAGGAAGGGCTCTGCAGATGGCTATGTGAGCCCGTGGCTAGTATGGGGCTGATGTTAGCCACGAGGACTGGGAAGTCCTCTCCTTCACCTGCCAGGTTAGCCAGTACAGCCTTGCCACCCGCTTCCAGCTCTGTGAGGCCCTTGGCAGAGTCGCTGCATGCATGTCTTCCTGTGCTAGCGGGCGCAATGCTGCCTGTGTCAGCACTGAAGTACACGGTGGAGCCCTCGTGTGCCTGGGCTGCTCCTGCTGGGAGGTGGCTGGGGGACAACAAGTCTGGGTCCCCTCTAGCACTGCTCTCTCCAAGGCGTGGATTGGAGTTGTCTCTCTCTTGGCTGCTCTGAACATCATGTTTCCCCCTGGATGCCATGAGGCCGGATGCTGCTGCCTCTTGCACTGTTCTTACGGAGGTCAAACTACCAGACTTTCTGCTGGCCAAAGTCACATAAGAAGTCTCCTCTTTCCTGCTCAGGCCTTCCCCAGCTCCATTCTCAGCTACTGGCTGCTTTTCTTTCCCCGCTCGGTGTTTAGGAGTAACAGGCCATCTCCCAGCCTTGGCGTCGGGGTACTGACTCACCACCCCACCTACAGGATAAACCTCCCCAATGCCCCCGTCCCCGAAAGCAGCATTGATCTTGGACACGTCTCCGGTCTTCAAAGCCAGCTTCACCAGCAGCCAGTGGTGGTGGTTGGCCCAGTTGTTCTTCAGGGCAGTCTGGCCACTGGGCTCTCCCAGCGAGGAGTCACCCTGCATGCTGGGTACAGACCAGGCAGGTACCACTGTTGAGGAGTCCACATCTTCCAGGCCTGGAAATGCAAAGCGCCCTCCCGCTTGGCTTCTGGATGGCAAAGAGGATCCTTCTGGCCCATTCCCTCGAGCAGCCGTGATGCCGCAGGATGTCTTCAGGGCTCTCTGCCAGATCTCTGTCGACTTGGGGTGGAGTAGGCCATAGTAAATGACCAGTGCCGCACAGCCTGAAAAAGAGCAGAGGTGCAGGATGACAGGCTTACTGACGTCTCTGCATAGCACACAGCATGAGAGAGGGAGAAACGTGGACAACGCATGGCATCCAAGCAGAAGTGCCAGTGCTGATGAACACAACTGCGCGAAGTCCTGGGACTGTGTTTGCTTTGCAAATTTAGTTAATCAAAGGGACCTGATGTGGTTGCCTTCTTTACATGCCAGTGTTCAGATACAATACGGTTGCAGAGAACCTGTGGACAAAATCCATCTTGGGGCTTCAACCCAACTGGTCAGTCAGCAGTAGTATCAGACTGATTGCAACACCTTGCTCAGGGACCAGACAACCCCATGCCAGACACTAGACATGGGACAAAATGATGGCCTCACCCCAGAAAAACTTGAAGATTGAGTACAAGACAAGACCTGGATGCAGAGACCTGGCAGAGATCAAGAAAACAATGAGACCATATTGATCAGTAGGACAGACACGGGTTTCAGGACATGAGCAACTATGTGTAGCATCCCCCTGCCATGGAAATGGTGTGCCAACCTGAAGGGCAGGAAAAATGACAGCTAGCAACTCTGCAAAGGGCAGCATGGAGAGGAAAGGGCAACCCCATGGGTACAAGGACAATCATGAGGTGTGACTTCTCTGCCCCACTTTGTCTGCAGCAACTGGGCCCTCCTGGGGTGGGTATAAAGGGAGTGAGGCATTGGTAGTGTTAGCTGCTCATCTCTTTGCAGTCGGAGCCAGGAGACAGAATTGCAGTCACGCTGCTTAGCTCTGCCCTGTCCTGCCTCTATCCGAGACTGGAGTCCTAAAGTTTGCCCACAGTGGGTCTTCCAGGGGTGAAGAAAGCTGCTTCCCCATTCTTCCTCCACCCTCACATGGAGGGACAGGAACAAGGAGGCTTTTGCCCCAAAGGAAGGAACTCATCTTTTAGAGCCCTCCTCAATTCTTTGGCAGGTGCCAAACCAGAAGACATCCTATGAGGAACTGTGCCCATGTTAGAGCACTGCCAACTTCAGAAGTCAGGGGTCAGGCCCCCAAAGTCATGAGACTGACTTAAAATAGAGGACAAGATTTTAAAACAAGCATCTTTGTCTCTTGCTTTGAGCTGTTAGGTCATACTTGGGTTTCCCTTTTCCAAGCTCTCTGTGCAGACACAAGGGCTCAGAAAATAAGTTAACAGGAAGAAAGCAGACACTGAGTTCAGGTAATCAGATGAACCCAGGATCTAGAGCTTTAAGGAAACAAACCAAACTAGACACCCACTCCTGGGAGAGGATGCCGATGGTCAGCAATAGTGTTTCTACTCCTGGGGTTTTTCAACCACGCTCGCCACCACATACCCAACCACACAGAGAGGCAGTGATTCAGAGCGTGAGAAAACAAAAGATCTTACCGATAACGAATCCCGACAGGACAACCCCAGCCTGGCACAGGCTACTCCACAGTGCGCCCTGCAGGTCTGTAGCCACCAACAAGAGGAGGATGTTTTCAACCAGCATGATCTGTCGGGGAGAGTAAAGAGAGCCATCACGACAGAACTGCACCCCATTTGCGGGTTGCAGACACCCTTCCAACATGGCACAGGTTACACAGCACACGCAAAGGTCTGGATTTGTCTGTTTAGTTTGAACTCCTTCCACCCGCTTTCGTCTTCTCCCCACACGAGTTTTGAATAGAACCAAAACGTGGCTCATAAAAACACGTGACAGCTTGTGTGGCATCCCTGGTCCACCAGTGCATGGGCATAAGTGCAGAGCTGGGACCAGCAGCAGAGACGACGGTGCCAGCCATGACACGCACTTCTCAAAAAGGAAATAGCTGTTACTGGTTTTGGAATGAGCTCCCAGGAGCTGCCGGTCAGCCCCTCGCATCAGCAGTAAATTCACTTCCTCTCTGTGGTTCCTAAAAACGAAGATTTCTGCAAGAGCATCGTGATGATCTGAGGAGTCCGCCAGTACCATTTGCTATTTTTGTTTGTTGACAATAAATTATTAGGTGATTTTCTTTATAGATGCCTCTGTCCATGTGCATTCACTTACTCTGAAGCTTCCAGTGATGCAAACCATCTGCCAAACTAGAAGAGTAGGGCTGGAAGGGACTGCAGCAGGTCAGCTCAAGGCAGGATCATCCTTAGGGAAACCAACCAAGTCAATTCTTTGTCGAAACTGCCCTTAAACATTTCCAAGGATTTGGAAATGTCCAGTCTCCATTCCACCATCTCTTTGGTAGCCTGTCCCTATGTTTAACCACCTCCCTAGAGAAAGTTCTTTCTAATATTCAACCTAAATTTCCCTTGCTTTGGGTTAAATCCATTGCTTCTTGTCCTGTCCCCTGCAGCCACAAAGAATAACCTTTTACCAATGGCTTGACTATCACTCTTCAGGAATGTGAAGACTTATCGAACCCTCCCTCAGTCTTCTGTTCTCCAGACTGAATAATCCCATTCTTCCAACCTTTCCTTGTCAGTCATGTTTTCCAGACTTTTAATCTTTCTTGCTTCTCTCTGCTACACTCTTCCCAATTCCATCCTTCTTGAAGTGCAGTGCCCAAAACTAGACAAAGCTGTGCTGATGACTACTGACAATAGAGGGTCATTATAACTTAATGGTCCTCTCCCAGGGTAAGGCACCTTGTGACACTTGGCTTGGGCTGGGAGAAGATACTTTCTCCTTTTGTCCGGACAGAGATAAGAAGTGCAGGTTTCTAGCTATGCGACAGAGAGAGGGTTTAAGGAAGTTCTGAGAAGATGGAGGCCTGATCTGTCCTATAAAATTTCACCAGCAAACTTGCAGTTCTGCCAGGGAAACGGAGTGCATCTCCATGCAAAGCACCTCGACAGCCGTAGAGCCCTCCTTTCTGCCAGCATAATTACTCTGCTGCTTCTGCTCCTTGGCTGGATGCTGTGGCAGGTGTTATCTGCTCCGGCAGCAGGGAAGATGAAGCTGCCATCATAAAATGTAGCTTCACAGGCTAAAAATAAGGACAATCAAATCTCACACCTCAGGGCAAAAGCTGATTGTTGCAAAGCGCAGCAAAAAACATCTGCCCCAGGAAACCTCACTATTAGGAGTCAGAGATGAGAGAACATTTATTCTGAAGCACTATGGAAAGGTCACAGATTGAAGCCCTTTGAACAGGTCTGCTGGACCTTTCCTATATAGTTTATTAAACCCTGACTATATAGGCATGTTACAGGGCACCCAGAAGTTGTCACAGGTCTTAACAGTTTTATTAGTCCTTTATGGTTTCTGTTTCTCCTTTGCTAGTAACACGAGAGCCGGGGAGTCAGAGCACTTACCGCATAAAACACAGCCACCCTGTACCTGGAGGGGCCGTCCCGGAAGTTAATGTAGCAGAAGATATACGTGGCTCCTACCAGGCAGTTAAACAGTCTCCAGCGACTGGGACTTGTGATGATGTCTGTCTGCTGAGCCACCACCCAGAAAGACATCACTAGCCAGTGAGCACCTGGGAGAGGAGAGCAAAGGACAGAAGTCAAATTAGCACCGGGTAGGGAACCAGCTAGTAGATGCTCCTGTACCAAGTAACCCGAGTCAGTGCCCAAATGAACAGACTCTCTTCCTTGTGCCATTTTCTATAAGCCAGCATAAGGAAAACCAGGCCCAGGCTACACTGCAGAAGTAAGGGCGGGTCAACCAACACCTTTCAAAAGCTGTGCATTTACCAGAAAGAAGAGATGAACCTCAAGTTCACTGACCCGCCTCCAGAAAACTACTGGGCTATGGAAGGCTTGATTTTCCTCTGCCATATTGGGGCACTGGGCACAGCTTAAGCTGCAAGGTTGAACTGGGGTGCACTGAAGCTTCTGCTGTTACTTAGAAAACTCAGTGGCTGGAGGGTCTTGCTCTTCTGTTAAGGGTCAGATTGATCCCAAACTGGGGGGCAAGAAGGAATTTTCCCCCTTAAGTTAGTCAGGGTTTTTGCCTTCCTGTGTGGTACAGGACACGATCCTCCTTTTAGAAACCTCTGAGTATCTTTTCACCAATTCCTTTCAGTCCTAGGTTGATGCAACCCTGCGTAGGTGAGTGACAGGAGAATTCAGCTGTCCTGGCAGACACAGGAGAATATTACCTGCACAAGTCCCGACAGGAAATCTCATCTTACCTGCAACGGCAAAAACCCAGATAGGACAAACTCTTGCAAACAGAGCCAGAGCCATGACCCGGGTCCCCAGCATCCCCATCCTCCACAAAAGCTGGCACAGGAGGGCAGCCGCTGGCATGTAGAGATGTCCGGGTTTCATCAGGCATGCAAAGCGACTATAAGAGACCAGTGCCCAGGACAGGGAGAGCAGGGACAGTCCAGCACTGATGCCTACAAAGGAAAGCAAGGGAGGCACTGAGAAAAGAGCCCCATGATGGGTCCAGTACTTCTGATATGCAGCCCCTAGTGCCCATGGCTTGCCCTCCAGCTGAGCTATTCCACCAAACACTCCTCTGCTGAACTGTTGCTGTTTGCCACTATAAACTCTGCCCCATTTTCTCTCCTTCCAGCTTTCTCCATCCTATTAGGTGACCATACACCTTGCATTCTTTGCAACAGACTTTACGTAAGAACTGGTACTTACTGGGGCCAGACCATAGGTCCGTCTTGCCCAGTCTCCTACGTCACATGCTGGCAGAAAGCGAAGCTGTAAGGGAGAGTGAACAGGGTACGACCAGGGTCTTTTCCCCTGTTGCTCTCCTACTTGCAGCCTCCAGCATTTAAGGTCTAGGAAGTTCTGATTCAGAAGCTGTAGCGAACAGGTAGAGCAGGGGTCAGCAATTCCCAGCATGCGTACCAGAGCATGGCACACAAGGCAATTTTGCTCTGCACGTCACAGCCAGCCCAGGCTTTGGGCAGCTGCTGCCAGCCACAGAGCCCAGGTTGATCGCGGCAGGCAGTGGGGAGGCTACAAGCTCTGCTGCAAGCAGCCGGGGCTCTGTGACCAGCAGCAGCTGCCCAGAGCCTAGGCTGGACGTGGCAGGCAGCTGGGAGGCCGCAAACAGCTGCACCAGCATCCAAAACCCTGGATGGACTCTGTGCCAGTGGTAGCTGCACATGCGCCTCAGATCGTATGGCCAGGAAGGGGCCAGGGCAGTGCAACCCCAGTCCCTTGTCAGCCATGAGCTCCGAGGTGCATGTGCAGCCACCGCAGTCACCAGTGCCAGGGCTCCAGACCCCAATGCAGCTTTCTGCAGCCTCCTGGCTGCCTGCTGCTGCTGCCCAGAGCCTGGGTTGGCTGTGGCAGGCAGCTGGGAAGCTGCAAACAGCTGCACTGGGCTCCAGAGCCCTGGCTGGGCTCCATGGCAGTGGCAGCTGTATGCATGCCATGGGGCACACAGTGGGGAAGGGGCCGCTGCAGGACAACCCCGGTCCCTTCCCTACCGTCCACTCAGAGGCATGTGTGCACCCGCTACCAGCAACGAGGATTGGGCCCCTCATGGCTCCCCCACCATCTGCCTCTGGCACACCAAGCTGAGGTGTGGGTCGAGATCGGGGTGCTTTGGCCTCTGATGTAGCACATGCATTTATCGACATGCTCCGAAGCCTCAGCTGACCCAGAAGAGCCTTCTAGTAAGATCCCTTATGCACTGGAGATGATAAAGAGACCCTCTCAATTAACAGATAGGATAGGATGATACAGAGACCCTTGGTGTGTGCAGTGGGGAGCTTGGTACTTGTGGTAGATGCCAGATGGACAGCCCGGGGCAGCCAAGTTGTCTGCCCCCACACTCCAGCTCTGCTCCCAGCCTGGAAGGACTCTGGGCTGCCAAGATTAGGACCTGGGACTCTTGGGACTTTTAGAAGGAAAGGGCCGAGCCACTGAGCTACAGCATCTCCTCCTGTGGAGGGCCAGAGAAAGTGGCTCTGGAAGGACTTGCACTGTGACCTCAGACATGTCACAACCCTTCTGTGCCTTGGTTTCCCTGTCAGAAAAATACAGCCATCACCTCATTTGGGAAGCTCTTTAAGGTCAACAGATACTGCATCCTGAGCATCACAGCCATCAAGTCCTCATGCTTGTTCAATCCCTTGGAAAATCAAGCAGCCTCAGCTACAATGCACTCTCCAGTAGGCTCATTTTGGCTTGCGTGGCTTTTAGGTGGACTGTCATCACACACCTAAGTTTTTAGGTGGTCGGCCAAAGAAATGAAACGCTCCTGATCCCCTCCCTGTACTTTGGATGGCAGCTCCCAAACTGTGGAAGGCAGCACCGTATTTGCTGCAGGAAGGGCCGACTTGCCCATCAGGGACTATAACGAATGGCCAGAGTTCTAGAAATTGGACGCCATGGTCAGTCCCTAAGCCACGAAGGCCCCCAGCACACCCAGGGATTCCCTCAGCAAGCAGCAAGCCAGCTCCAGGAGGCTGGAGGCTCGGTGCACTGACACCACTGGGGCCCCAGATTCCTTCCCAGGTACCATGCTACCCACTCAGACAAGAGCTGGGCCTTACTGAGGAGAGGAGGCACTGAGTGATAGCCAAGCAGTCTTTGGGGGGGTGTCTGCTGGCAGGACTATGTCCATTGTGAGGGCTGCAATAGGAAAATGGAAGAACCACAGGATGCCTTTGTGGGGGACGGGCCATGCAGCTTTTGCACAGACCGACCTGGGACGAGGCCTGCAGGTTCCACAGCAGCACAGACATACGTCTGCAGCACCAGGTGCGGCAGGCTCTGCACCAAAGCCTCCAGGATCCGCAGCACTGCTGTGTCCCCCTGCTGCAAGAGGTGATCTCCGGCTGCAGAGCTCCTCCCTGCCTTGCCAGCTGTCCGCAGGACGTCCCAGTACCTGGATGAGGACAGAAGCGCAGTCAAGGTCTGACAACACCCAATTCGGATTGCACTTTACATCAGCTTCGCAGGGGAAGACTCCTGGCTTTGGATCACACCCTTGGAGAAGCACGGCCCTTGGGAACTTGGACAGTTGCTGATGCTTCTGTGAATGGAGCCCAGTGGTGTGGGGGGCATGAATCAATACCATCCTGAGCTGGTGGCACCTTCCAGCCAGAGTAAAGGAGCAGGCATGGTGCAAGGCAGTGGACAGGGAGAGCCCTGATCTTTACCGCTCCTCTGTAAAAAGCACGTTGGTGGTGCTGCACAAGGAGTTCTCAGAAGAAGTTTTGGATGAGGGTTTTGAATACAACCGCCCTCGAATTACACAGTTCTACCATCCTCGGCCCTTCCTCTTCTTCCAGAGGGGCTCTTCCCCACCTGCTTTATCAGGTTAAACGCATGTGTCAGCGCTAACAGACCAGTCAAATGTGGACACGTGGGGATGCAAACTGTTTCCTGCATTTTGATCTGCTCCAGCAAGCATTTGCTTAAAAGGTAGCTGTTGTCCTAAACTCTGCAGTCAATCTCAAGAACCTTGTTGAACCTCAAGAAATCTCCTGAGGTTCAACAAGGACAAGTGCAAAGTCCTGCACTTAGGACAAAACAATCCCACGCACCAGTACAGGCTGGGGGGTGACTGGCTGGGCAGTAGCTCTGCAGAAAAGGACCTGGGGGTGACAGTGGACAATAAACTGGGTATGAGTCAACAGTGTGCCCTTGTTGTCAAGAAGGCTAATGGCATACTGGGAGCGCATTGGTGTGTTGCCAGCAGATAGTAATAACAGATAGTAGATAGTAATAGCAGATAGTAATAGAAGTAATAACTTCCTTTCATAGTTTCATAGTACTGTGTTCAGTTTTGGGCCCCCCACTACAGAAAGGATGTGGACAAATTGAAGAGGCCAGTGAAAGGTAATGAAAATGGTGATGGGGCTGGGGGACATGATGAGTGAGGAGAGGCTGAGGGAACTGGGCTTATTTAGTCTGCAGAAGAGAAGACCAAGGCGGGATTTGATAGCAGCCTTCAACTACCTGAAGGATGGTTGAAAAAAGGATGGAGTTGGACTGTTCTCGGTGGGCGCAGATAACAGAACAAGCAGCGATGGTCTCAAGTTGCAGCAAGGGAGGTTTAGGTTGGATATTACGGGAAAAAATTTCACTAGGAGGGTGCTAAAGCACTGAAACGGGTTACCTCTTCTTGCTGTTTGTCCTTCGAATTCGAAGATGACCATGACATGACTGGTTGGTTTGGTTTCCGTGAACCGGTGAAAGGCCAATCAGGCCAATTTGTGCTTTGAACTGTCTACGGCACACTGAGCAAGAGATGCCACCTTGGGTTGCTTGATCAACAGCGGACGTGCTGCTGTTGCGAGATTTGCGCTGTTGGCACTTCTGCTTTGCTTCAGCGGTTCTTCTCCGCTCATAGACGGTAGCTCCAGTATAGACGAGGCTTCGCCAAGTAGAATGATCGCGTGCGAGATCTTCCCAGGACTTTGGGTCAATGTTGAAATGTTTCTAGGATGACTTGAGGGAGTCCTTGAAGTGTTTCCTCTGAGTTCCCTGAGAGCACTTTCCCTCCTTCAGTTCACCGGAAAAGATCTTTGGCAGTCGCTCATCTGACATCCTGGTGACAGGGCATGCCCATCTCATCTGTGATTTCATCAGCAGAGTGCAGATGCTTGAAATGCCTGCCTGAGTAAGAACCTCAGTGTCTGGGACCTTGTCTTGCCATCTTATCCTCATCAGTTTCCCCAGACTGCCTAGATGTGAGCTCCTGAGACCCCTTCCAGCCCTCATTTTGTATGATGTCCCTTCTCAAATCAACACGGGCACCACCATGATCCTGCCGGTCCTTCAGGCCCAGAACCTGGGAGAGGGACAGGCAGGCGGGGTCCAGGATCGTGGGGTGGTGACAGTGCAGGGCCAGGCCCTGGGGCAGATCTGCTCCCTGCATGCCTCAGTCCATGGAACCGGTGCCTGTTGCAAGGGTGTGTGGGGAGCAGATTGGGGCCCCTACAGAAGCTCGTGGAAACTTCTTAAGTGGCCCTCCAGCCCAAATACTTGCCCACCCCTGCTCTACCTGGACTCCTCTCTCGATCCTCATATCTGGGTGTGCCCAGGACTTGCAAACTCTGTCTCTACAGCTTCTTAGATGGGGCTTTCCCTGTCCAAGCACGCGGCTGGCTTGCATCTCATCTCACTTCTTAATAACTGCAGCACCTTTTCCACTGGCTGGGACCAATGCATCCTTGATGCAACCTTGCCCTGCATGTGCTCATTTAGAAAGCAGCGGCAAAGAACATTTTCCTAGCTCCCCCTCTACGTGCAACCACTAGCCCAACAGAAGGTGTTTGCCTTCCCTTTCACAGCCCATAGCCCCTCTTCTTGTTATCCCTCATTCAGCACTGGGGGATCAGCTCCCACCTTAGATCAGCCTTCGTCATGCATTGATTGGATTTCAATTCAAACGCCTTCATGCTTTCCCCCAAGCTGTCTCACACTTGCTTAGACAGAGCGACTCTCTTCCCCAAAGCTGCCTATTTTCCTTCAAACCCCTTCTTAAAATTCTCCTTTAGCCTGACAAAATCTTGAGAAGGATTAGACTGCTCCTGGTCTATGGCAACTGCCTCGCTGGACATCTTTTTGCCTCCTTGTCCTCCTCCATCTGTCTGTACCCAGCTGTGACCTCTGGTCTTAAACTTTACATGGGCCCAGCTGGAGGCTCTTGTGATTGGAAAGTGTTAACTGCTAGAACTCCCCAGAAGACTCACAAGCAGCTGAATTTGCTCAACTTGGCAGGGCCTGACAGCCTTGCAAAAGCCATGGTAAAAATCCACTTGATGTAATCAAAGGGACTGGTACCACACCCTGAGAAGGAATGAAAGAGACTTGCTTGGAGGAGGCAATAAACAAGGGGGATGATTACCTGGGAGGATCACGAATTGCCCAGTGGGACCAGTAAGCAGACCCACAGGCTTTGAGCTCAGTGCAGAAGAAGATAAGATTGAAATGTGCTTATCTGGAATGGAGGCACATGTGTGATGAGTATCTGACTCATTAATCCCAAGGATGCCCTTGTGACTGGACCATGCTATGAATGAGAAGAAAGACTGTATGAAGTACTAGGTTTGGGTAAGGAGGGTCCCAATGATAGTATCCCTGTGTTATCCCCTGCCTGCCAGCAGTCTGGCCATTCCCACCTCAGATCAGGATCTCTCACAGCAATTACAGCCTGTTCTGGCAACAAACTCACAACTTTGTGTGCTCGAATTGAGGGACATGAGGTTGTGTTGGCTGTAACACTCCAACTGCAAACTCTCTGGGGCAGGGACCATAATTTATTTGGCATTTGTACAGCATGCCATGCTATGGTGTCCCTAGGTACTGTGGTAATACAAATTAACAATAATGATAATTGCAAGTGAGGCTTTGGTCATTGAAGGCCAATTTTCAGGACCATTAAATCCACTTAGTTTCAAAGTTTCATAGTTAGTCGGGTCGGAAAGGACCTGAGCAGATCATCAAGTCTGACCCCCTGCCACAGCAGGAAAGAGTACGGGGGTCAAACGACCCCAGCAAGGTGTTCATCCAGCCCCCTCTTAAAGACACCCAGGGTAGGAGCCAGCACCACTTCTCTTGGACGTTGGTTCCAGATCCTAGCCGCCCTGACTGTGAAGTTGCGCCTCCTGATGTCTAGTCTGAATCTCCCCTCTGCCAGCTTGTGACTGTTATTCCTGGTCACTCCTGGTAGCGCTCGGGGGAACAGGGACTCCCCCAAT